CATGTCTTTCCTCCGCCAGACTCGTCTCTGGCTCGTTTCTCCCCTCGTTCTCCTCCTGTGACGCCTCCTCTATCACCTCACCCAATTCCTCCGTCCCACTTCTGGTCTCGCCGTCCATCTCGTGCTCGTCCTATCTCTCGTGTCTAGTGCTCTCACCCGATGTTGCTTCGTTCCCACGCATCTCGTCCTTCCCTCTTCCCCTCGCCTCCTCCGTCCTCGCTTGTTTTCGCGCCGCCTCCTCTGTCTGACTACCTTCGTACCGCTAGTCCTCTTGTTCCTCGAGTCCTTGCCTCTCTTGTTACCGATTTGTTTGTTACTGTCTCGAGTCTTGACGCGCTTGTCGCTGCTGTCGCAGACTGCGCCTCTACCCGCTGCCTTGACTATGCCAGCGCTCTGGTCTCTGACCCTACCTGCCCTCCGTCTGTCAGGGGTGCTCCTACCTTTGGCAATGACGTCCTGGAGGATTGGCAGTATGAGCTAGCCTTCCTGCTCGAGGCCGCGCCTCATCTCTGCTCTATGCTGCTAGTCCCTGAGGGGGATCCAAACGTCTTTGACATCCCGACCCCTCGCACCTATGCTGAGGCGACCTCGAGATCCTGGGCCTTTTAGTGGATAGCTGCCATGGATGTGGCGAGGGCATGTTGGAGATCCACTGGCACCTACGTCAACGCAGTTCCCTCACCTGGGATGAACGTAGTCGATGATTGGTGGCTCTTTAAGGTGAAGCGCCCTCCTAGAGAGCCGCCTGTGTTCAAGGCACGCTACGTGGCTAGAGGCTTCAGTGCGAGAGTGTGGACTTCTTCCATAACTTTGCCCTGACCCCGAAGATGACTACTGTTCGGGCGCTGCTATACGTACAGTAGCAGCACCGCGTAACTACGAGCTCCACTCTCTCGACTTCTCGATATCTTTTCTTCAGGGCAGTTTGTACGAGCAGGTTTACCTGTGCCGTCCGCCAGGCTTTACCGGCACCTTCGCCCCGGGGACCCAGTGGCTCCTCCGGCGCTTGGTTTACGGCCTGCCTCAGGCACCGTGCGAGTGGCACAACACACTGCGTGCTACGTTAGCTGACCTGCAGTTCTTCCCGTCGTTTGTAGACCCTTCACTTTTCGTTCATGCTGGTCAGATCCCAATCTACATCCTAGTCTACGTAGACGACCTTGTCTTTGCTACTGCAGATAGAGATGCAGTGGCCTCCGTGAAGGCTGAGCTGCTGAGGAGACACACCTGCACTGACCTAAGAGAGCTGCGCCGCTACCTTGGCCTGCATATCTTCGATGACAGAGCAGCGCGCACCATCACTCTCACACAGTCACACTTGGTGCGCCAGGTCCTTCAGAGGTTTGGCCTTTACTTCTCCTCCGTACAGCCACACCTCTGCCAGTAGATCACAGGCTCTCGGCTCCACACCCTGAGGAGTCTGTATAGCCTAGTGGTTTCTACGTAGAGCTGGTGGGTTGTCTCATGTTCCTGATGACTTGCACTCGTCCAGATCTCGCATACCCTCTCAGCATCCTGGCTCGCTTTGTGCCCATATGCGGACACCAACCACAGTACTGGTTGGCCGCTAAGAGGGTTTTGCGTTGGCTAGCAAGTACATCCAGTATGGGGCTGGTGCTAGGAGGATGTAGGCCAGTGGTACTTACAGGGCATACATACGCTTCGTGGTCGGACAACGCTGAGACACTCTGGTCTTGAGTGGTCCAATGGTTGGACTAGTAGTGCCGCCCTGGGTTATACTTGTCTAGTTGGTACTCTTGCTCACTGGTCTTCGGACCCTTGCCTCGGAGGTTGGACTTGTAGTGCCACGCTGAGTTGTGTGTCTCTTGCTAGTCGTTGCCCCTTGTCTAGCCTAGGGGGTGTGTTAACATATAATTTGTATATGTTATATGTTAGCTAGGTGCATGCTCATATAGAGTACAACCCCTTAGGCTATATCTCCTTGTACCACCTCATTTTAATCAATTCGTTCTACGCTAAGACCTCTAACCACTACGCTAAAAGGGCTTATTATTTTTAGCGGGTCAGCGCGCCCATAACCCCCCAGTTATAACAGCTTGTGGCCCTTTCGATGAACTTCTAGGACGATTCAAATGGGTCTCTCGATAACCCCCCTCGTTAGGGTAGGCGGTGGACTCGACACTTCAACAGTGCACGGGGATTTGAATCCGAGACCTCTAGCTCTGATACCATTTCAGAAAGCACAGCCACTAACCACTATGCTAAAAGGGCTAGCGGGATAGCGTGCCCATTATCAGGAAGCTAGGTTAGGAGCTAGGCATAGGAAAGTAGCGAGATGTTTTAGGCTAGGAGAAAATGTCGAGAGAGAAGAGAGTTGGACTAGAAGAGAGAGGGATACAAGAAGGGGGTTGTAACCTCTACAGTAGGATCCAGGATATGCACTACACCTACCTAGCCTATACACATACATATATAATATATATGTTGACACACCACATAGGCTTGGTAGGCGATACGCAGAGAATAGACCAGGACAGTACTACTAGCTTGTCCACTCGTTTTAGTAGTAATGCAGGTCAAAAGAAAACATAGCACGCACACAGCACACTAAGCCACACACCCCTTAAGCCTAGCACCCCCATACTCAGCAGCAGTGACGGCTTCTCCAGCACGGTCAACCCCTCGGTGTGCGAGGCGGCGACGTCGGCAGCGAGGGCAGCGGCTGCAACGGCGGCGGCAGCAGCAGCAACATAGCGGCGGCGGCAGGCGGCGAGGCCAGCGGCACCAGCTGCGGCGGCGGCGACTTCGACGACAGCGTCGGCGGCGGCGGCGGCGGAGCTCGCAGCACTCGGTGGCGTGGCCTGACTCCGCAATGGGGAAGGCCCGAGCGAGTCAGCCGTCAGCTGCGGCAAGGAAGAGGGGACGCAAGGGAGGGGGGGCGGGGCTTCTGTAGCGGAGCCAGATAGCGTGCCGCCCCATGTGGCGCTCTGGCTGCATGCAGGCGTGTTGGCCAGCGCTAAGACCGGGCGCTGGCCGCTGCCGTCCGTGCGCTGGCGCATCGACGCCGCCACGGCAGCACGACGACGCTGTCACGGCAGCACGACATGGTCGTGGCGGCGGCGTGGAAAGGACAGGAGGGAGGAGCGAACGTTGCGGAAGCGTGAGGAGAAGGCCCGAGCGGAAGGGCCTGCACTGGTACCATATCAAGAAGCTAAGTTAGGAGCTAGGTATAGGAAAGTAACGAGAGGTTTTAGGCTAGGAGAAAATGTCGATAGAGAAGAGAGTTGGACTAGAAGAGAGAGGGATACAAGAAGGGGATGGTACCCTCTACAGTAGGATCCAGGATATGCAGTACACCTACCTAGCCTATACACATATATATATATAATATATGTTGACACCCGTAACGCACCAGGAATAGCGGTTTGTGGCCCTTTCAAGGATCTTTTAGGGCAACCCCAGTGGGTCTCTCAATACGCGTCCCCAGCCTCGGCCCTCAAGTCTCACGTCAAACCACCCCCGCCGACCTATTCGGCCTTGAACCTGTCACCGAGGCGCCCCCAACCCAATTTGACGCCGCTGCTCTCGGGACTCTCGAGCCATTGACTAGTCCAACCTTCAAGTTTCAACCCTGGTCAACTCGCACGATATGAGCCCTAGGGCCTCATTTGTATCAACACATTCTGTAACCACACTCCCATGCGCGCAATACTCTGAATTTAATTCATAACAGTGCTAGATTGATAACATTATGTACATGCTTTTCCTACACAAACTTATCACCAAATAACATTTACTATATTAGGAGCCACGCTTGGTCTTGAGCTTTCCATGCAATGGGTTGGTTGCGGGGGATAAGACGCACAGGTTTCACGGGGGTGGACATTCGCGAGGGCGAGATTTTCACGACGTTATGTTATAATGCGACCGTTAGATGGTCAGCCACATCTGACGATGCGTAGATATAGTTGCAAGGACACACAGGGACAGTTGACCCAACCTGCTCTGACACTTCTAGGACGCCCTCCAGGAACGAAAAGGGGGAGGAAATCACGCGCTTCGACAAAAATCAAGAATGGTTTAAAACGGTTGACCCTTTTTGCGCGTGATGTGTGGCATACCCTCGTTACCCAAAATGGTCGACCCCTCCCCCCCCCCCCCCCCCCGACTGTACCCGTTTTCGTGTTGGGTTCAGATGCCACAAGGTTTTTTCGGAGCAACTGGTTTGGGCAGCATGTGTAGGGTTTAAGAAAGAGTAATATGACAAACAATGACGGTCGATTAAGGGCTAGGGCATTCGAAAAAGGCACGCGCAATAATTGTGGGCACAACGTCCGGATTTTGACAAAATAGCGGAGGAGGTTTTCGCTGAACTCGGATTCCGACAGTGAACTTTTCCAAAAACAGGGTCGAACCTAGATTCTGACGGGTGAATTTTGGCAGAACTGGCTGTAAAACCCGGATTTGACGGGTAAATTTTGATAGCACAGAGTGCTGAACACGGATTCTAATCGGTAGCTTTGGCCAGATACCTGAATCTGACGGGTGCCCCGAAAACCAGACGTAAGCCCCGACACCTGCGCTTCAATTTTTGTCAGATTTTAAATGCATTTTCGCACAACAACTGAATTAGGATCCGGCAAATGTTTTCACAGCGACCCAAAATTACATTTCCAACATTCTGCACATCAAAACTAAAACGGGTACAGTAGGGGCGGTCGACCGTTTTGGGTAACGGGGGCATGCCATACATCGCGTGCCAAAAGAGTTGACCATTTAAAAATCTTCTTGATTTTCGTCAAAGCGCGCGATTTCCTCGAAAAGTGGGTTCAGGCAAGACGTCTCCCCTGGAGATGATGTCATCCAAAATTCCTAGGGCACAGTGCCTGATCCTCAATGACCCAGCAGGTGGTTACCCTGTCATGTGTGCCCTAAATTCCTGATCTGTTGACGATATTTCGTGAGAAGCCAAAAGCTGCTACAAGCTCCAGAGTTCAAGAATTCGAGTTGTTATAGGTTCGAAAGGATTTCGAGGAGTTCAAGATTCAGAGGAGTTTTGCGCAGACTCTTGGCTGTAGTTTCTAGCTGAGCTTGGAGCAGGCCGTAGTAACACGAGCTGCATCTCGCAACTAACGCACGTTCTACGTTTTGACGCGCCATATCTTGAGCCCGTGGTTGACCAACCGCTCTGCTGTCCGAGCTGACTCACCTTTGAGCCCCCTCTCGTTAACTGCTGCTCGTATCATCCGACGCTGCACACAACGACCTCCACGGGACCTCTCCTCGTTGGTCTGCCCGCACCCACGCATGAGTTCCCGCATCACTCAAAATGTGGCCCTGGTTTTGCCACTTGAGTACCTGCTTCACAGGTCGGCGAAATCCCGTTGGCGATATATTTTGCGGGGCGAGATTCTGACAAGGACTGAACCGCCTCGGGCTCTTTCACCGCGCGCCATATCTTTTGGAAAAAAAAAAGGGACATACTTTTTAGGGGCCTGGAATTGTATCGCTTTTGGGCTTCTCCAGCCAACCCCTGCTGACTTTGGTGGAGTGTAGCTCTAGTATTCCTGCGGAGCGGAATTCCATTCCGTAGCGCGGCTTGCCGCGTACAGTATTGTAACAGTGAAACAGGTCAGCTGCTCGCGTTATCTCGCTTTACGTGTGGCTAGCATTGTAGTGGGTTTTTGTGCTGGGTACGGTGCACCACGCTGCTACCTGAGTTGACTCAGCTGGCTCCAAAGGCATTCCCATGGATGTTGGCCGTTCGTTTACTGCAGACTGCCCAACTAACTGCCCGCGCTGCAACGTGCAGACGTTCGGCTGCGACCGACGCCCCCAAGACGTTCGCCGGAGCAAGGTGTTTGCGCTCATCCCACTTTCTGAATGAGTTTACTGAGGCTTCATTCTCTCACTTTCTCGTTCTGTTTTCCTGAGTAGAGAAACAAACATCCATAGGTTGAACCTCCAGCTCACGAAGTCTCCAGAGCCACCGCACCGCACCGCTCTAAGAGTCCTTGTATCCTTGTAGTAGGCAAGATGAGGGAGAGGCAGCGATGTCGCAGCTCGTCACGCCAGCAGCGGGAGCACTGCCGCCAGCTCCAACCGCGCAGGCTTCCGCGGGAGCTTCTGCTCGGCGCGCTGCTGCTGGCTGCTCTGCTGCTCCACTCCGGCATTGTTAACGGCTTGCACTGGAAATATACGCAAGGTACTATTCGCCTGACACGCATCGCAAGTTTTTTTTTTTTTTTTTTTTTTTTTTTTTTTTTTTTTTTTTTTCTTAAGCGTCGTCGCAAGGTCATAGCCTGAAAGAGTGTTCGCAACGTGTCACAACTCTGTTGTAACGACTGCGGACAAGTGGTTAGCCGCTGCTACCTCTAGGTAACCCTCGTTCTGCCCAGTGGTTAGGGGACGAGGCGTTACATCCGCACCCTGTTACTAGCGTCTTGCAAACTCCGCACCCTCTGGGTCACACCTGACATGCGGTGTGCGTCAGACAAGCGGGAAGCGCAAGCTCCAAAAACAAAGTTGGGCGGGCTTTGAAACGTCTCAAACCTTTTGAGACGTCTCAAAACTGGAAATGGGGACGGGGGGGGGAGACACGGGTCAGACGGAATGGGAGGGAAATCATGCCTGGATTTCAAAGTCTTGCGCCGCTAGGCATTGGTGACTCGTGTTGGTATGGCTTGCTATTGATAGATATGGCCCTTCTTGCTGCTTTGTCGCATCCCTCGTAACACGAATAAGCCATTCTACTCAACTCTTTCTGCGCCTCATCTCTTTTTCTGTTTCCTCCCCTCATTGCCCGCTTGGCAGTGCGTGCGATAGAGGACCTGCGGCTTGCAATGAATACCGGTGGACAGACCTTTAACCCGCTGGGGTGGAATGCAAAGGACGACTGCAGGATGGCTCAAGTGCTGCGTTGTGATACCCAGGGCATGGTTACCAGCATGTAAGGCATGGTTACCAGCATGTAGGGTATGGTTACTACTATCAACATGTAAGGCATGGTTACCAGCATGCAAGGCGCGGTTACCAGCATGGAAGGCATGGTTACCAGCATGAAAGACATGGTTGCAAAACGTAAGACATGGTTACAGGCATGCAAGCATGATTACCAGCATGTAAGGCATGGATGCAATGCAAGGCATGGTTACCAGCTTAAATTTAGCGAATATAGATTCCCGTCGCAGTTTTATTCCTCCCTTGTCTTATTTCTTCCTCCCTTTCTGTCTCTCGCCCATCGGCCTCCCTGCGTGTTTCTCTCTCCCGGTCGCCTCAGGAACCTGGCTGGTGCTGGCAAGCTCGGCTCCATCCCTTCCAGCATAGGGGCCCTCTCGCGACTCACCTCCGTGTAACCTCCTTTTGGCCGTGCTACAATGATCTCGCCATAATATATTTCCTTTGTCATGGCCTCCCTGTAACAATCTTACCATACCGACAGACCACTTGGCATCTTTCTCATCCGTCTCTCTCCCCGCGTTGCCCCTTCTTCTACCCCCCCCCTCCCTTCCCCTTCCACCACCTCCTCTCCCTCCCCCCAACGCGCCAGTGTGCTTCGAGGCAACGCATTCAGCAACCAGCTCCCAGGATCGCTCAACAGCCTTACGAAGCTCGTGCAGCTGTGAGTCGAGCGCTAGTACTACTAGGGGGAGGCAGCGTGCTGCCACGGGTGCGCCTGTGAGCGAAGCAGCCATTCGCGAAGAAGCCATGCGGCTGTGAGCGAAGAAGCCAAGCGTGCAGCTGTGGGGCTGCTGTCAGGGGCCTACTCTCCACTCGTTCGCCTTTGTGTTGTGGGCGTATCAAAAGCCTCGGTTGCAAGCTAGGAAGCATAGCATGGCTGATGCACGTGTGCGTAATCTCTAGCATTCCACGTGTGCTCTTGCCCCTTGTTCTCCACGCCTGCCTGTTTGTGCAGTCACCTGTATCGTAGCCACTTGCCGGGCAACCTCTCTGACATGAAAATACTTTATCATTCATTGCCGTGCCATGCCACCCCATTTCTCCCTCCGACCACCCCGCCCCCTTCTCTGCCTCACAACACCACACTACACCTCCTGCCCTCCCTCACACACACCCCACGGTAGTGACCTGTCCGACAACACCTTCAGTGGGATCATTCCCTCTTTTAGCAGCTTGATCGCACTCACGTACCTGTAAGCCCGTCTCCCTAGACTTGAGTAACTTGGCTTCCCTTAACACCTAAGGATTGTGTGAAGGCTTGCCTTTTCAACTGCTCCCAATCTGTGTTCGTGGTTGTTTGTGTGGGCATACTCAGCCGTTGACACAATGCCATTGTGATAATCAAGGCAGTGGTAAATGTTGACAGTGATAAGAACACTGTATGTATGAACCCATGAGCGTTGGTGCCACAGCCACTGTCCCACCCGAAATCCAAGTTTACTCTGTGGATGGTCCCACCGAGGCAGTCTCGCACCGTGCAGCTTCGCTCTGCAGTCCTCACTGCCCCATCCCCTCCCCTCGCTGCCCGTGCAGCAACTTGTCCAGAAACAGCCTTGCTGGACCCATCCCTGACTGCTTCGACAACCTCGCCAGCCTCCAAACCATGTGAGCCACTCGCAGCCTTGCAACCCATGTGAGCCCCTCGCAGCCTTGCAACCCATGTGAGCCCCTCGCAGCCTTGCAACCCATGTGAGCCCCTCGCAGCCTTGCAACCCATGTGAGCCCCTCGCAGCCTTGCAACCCATGTGATGTGAGCCCCTCGCAGCCTTGCAACCCATGTGATGTGAGCCCCTCGCAGCCTTGCAACCCATGTGAGCCCCTCGCAGCCTTGCAACCCATGTGAGCTCCTCGCAGCCTTGCAACCCATGTGAGCCCCTCGCAGCCTTGCAACCCATGTGAGCCCCTTGCAGCCTTGCAACCCATGTGAGCCACTCGCAGCCTTGCAACCCATGTGAGCCCCTCGCAGCCTTGCAACCCATGTGAGCCCCTCGCAGCCTTGCAACCCATGTGAGCCCCTCGCAGCCTTGCAACCCATGTGAGCCCCTCGCAGCCTTGCAACCCATGTGAGCCCCTCGCAGCCTTGCAACCCATGTGAGCCACTCGCAGCCTTGCAACCCATGTGAGCCACTCAAAGCCTTGCAACCCATGTGAGCCACTCAAAGCCTTGCAACCCATGTGAGCCCATAGGAGCCGTCCAACCATGATAGTACGGGCAGAACTCATTCTGCTAGGGCTCACCATGTGTTTGTTGTATTCGCTCTGGCATACTTTCTTCTGCCATTCGTACTCACGCTAGGAGTATTGTCATCACAAGGTCCGTCTTGGCCTCATCCATCCATCCACCTTCTTTGGGCATTCGCAGTGACCTGTCGACCAACCAGCTCTCTGGCTCGTTACCCGCGTCTATGAGCAGCTTGGGCGCCCTTAAAACGTTGTGAGTGAAAGCCGTGTTCTGATGACAGAGGGGCTCACAGTCGTCTCGTTGTCAAGCTTGAGCCCCTAGTTCCGCCTTCACCTGTTTCTGAGAATCTCTTAAACCAACTCAGCCCCACCCACGTCGTCTACATCGTTTCACTTGCTCACCTCTTCTGTCCAACAGCCCCTTCAGAAACAAAGATAACAACTTTCAAGTGAAGCTAGGATCTACATGTCGCCCACTTCATCATGTGCTCGTCGTGCACCTCCCCCCCTCGCCTTTCTTCACGTGGAGGGAATTTTCTCAACCAGCAGCCTTTCCCTACAGATTGTGCAGCCTGGAAAATTGCATGGGGAGGAGTGCCACTTCCTCTTTGAGCTCAACCTCCTCCGCTGCTACAACTACCCCCGCTACTAGCCACAGCTGCATTGACCCGCTCACTAATGCGTGGCCTTCAGATGGTCTCTCCCCTTTGTTCTCCCCACCGGCCTTTCGTGTGCAGTCGTGCGGATGATAACTACTTGTCCGGCAAGGATCCCCCCTTTAGTGTATGCGGCTGGTACAGCTACAATGCGAGCAATGGCTGCGTGGATGCGAGCGCGGTGGCCATTGCCTTGAACTGCTTTGACAGCCCGTACAGCATGGGCCAGCAGCAGCGCGAAGCCGACCAGTGCACCGCCTTCTGTGGCATCGAGCCCCGGTCCACGTCAGCTTGTGGCGGCCACGGGTACTGCTATTGGGAGGGGAGTGGTGCCTCTGCGCAGGGCAAGTGCGTGTGCGAGGAAGGGACTTCCTACGTGGGGGATCGTGGGGCATGTGTTACCAGCACCGGCACTCCATGGGATGCTTCCCAATGTAAGGACAGCACGTGACAGGTCTTGGTAAAGGACTCTTGCAACTGGTTTTGGGGCTAGTACCCTGTTTTGAAGCGTCTTCGCCAACCATCGATTTCGCTGCCCACCTTCAGGCCAAGGCGGGCCGGCACTCTTACTTACAATCTTCCCTGCTTTCCTTGGGCCGTGCTTTCCTGCCTAACATGCGTTCCTGGCAGTGCCTTTTCTGAAGGAACTGAGGAACTCCTGTGATCAGTCTTTAGGTTGGGAGGATGGGGATGACTGCAAGACTGCTAAATATCTTACTTGTGATGATGACGGCATGATCACGGGATTGTTGTAAGTGCCACACCCATACGTGGTGTTGCTTTAGTTAAGTACAAGTTAAGATTATGGTTTGCCTTTGACTTCTTGCCTGTACCATGAAGCTCCCTTCTTTGACTCTCCTTTCGATGCTTCTCAACCGCATGGCTTGCGCACATGCCTCTTCCTTTCTCCATTCCTGTTCTGCAGAAATTTGACTGACGCTGGGCTCATTGACAGCATTCCTTCAGCGCTCTTCACTCTTCCACGCCTCACCCAAATGTGCGTTCCCTCACCCCACATCGCCCTTCTCCCTTGCTCCTGCACATCTTTGCGTTTCTGAGAAGTGTGTTCAGACTCATCAATTTAGTCTGAGCATTTGCTTGCCAAGCATATTGGTTTCCACACTGTTCAAACAATGTATGGCTTTCAATCGATCGGGGGCATGGCAAGCTTAGCTGTGTACCACTTATGTCCCTCATTTCAAGCTAAATGCATGCCATGTGTGTCTCCCCTCCCACTTCTTCCATGCCAAGGACCTGCCCCGTCTCCCTGCCGGCCCCCACTCTCTCCCCCCCTGGTTGCAAAAACACGTCTTGGCCCACCAGTATCGTAAGCAGCGACGAGTACCTGAGTTGTTCTCTTCCACAGAGCATCAGTCTGCTAACCGACCTTGTAGGGCTGTAAGTAAACCTACACGCTTGTCGCCCTCCATAAACCCCCTCATCTTCTTAACTCCCGTTTTCATGACTGTATTAACCAAGTACATGTCGAAAGTGGTATGCCTTGGCTTCGACTTATTTTGTGACCCTACTATGAGGCTCCATCCCTTCACGCTGGTTTTGATGTGTCTCAACCGCGTGGCGTGCACGCATGCCTCTCTCTTCCTCCACACCGGCTGTGCAGAGAGTTGTCTATCGTTAATCTCGCCAACGGCATTCCTACAGAGCTCTTCACTCTTACAAGCCTCACCCGCATGTGCGCTTCCTCACCCCACACGCCACATCGTTCTTTGCTCTTGCTCCAGCGTATCTCTGCGTTTCTCGAAAGTGTGCCAAGCCTATGGCTTCCACTCTGCTCAAGCAACGTACGGCTTCCAAGTGATCTGGGGCCTGGCAAGCCTAGCTGTCCATCATGTGTTTCCCTCATCCCATGCCGGCATGCCATCTGGAGCGATCTGGAATGCATGCCAGACCATTTGTGTCCCCCCTCCGACTTATGGCAAGTACATGCTGTCCCTCCCTTCTTCTATGCACAGTCCTGCCCCCTCTCCCTCTCGCCCCCCTCCCCTCGCCTCCGGTTTCAAAAACATGTCATTGCCCACCAGAAAGATGGAGGGCCACTTTGGAGAGTTTGGTTCTATTCGAGAGCCCATCAGTATGCTTACCAACCTTGTAGAGCTGTAAGTACACGTACCCATATCTCGGCCCCTCGACTCCCTTTTTGTGATCGCTTTAGTCAAGCACAGGTTGAGAGTACTGGTCTACCTGTACCGTGAGGCTCCCTCCCTCCTTCCACTCTGCTTTTTCGAGGCGCCTCAATTGCATGGCGTGCACACATGCCCCTTCCTTCCTTCCTCCGTGCCACTATGCAGAGAGTTGTCAAAGGCTATTTTCACTGGCGGCATACCCTCAGGGCTCTTCACTCTTCCAAGCCTCACCCGCATGTGCGTTCCCTCACCCCACATCACATCGCTCTCCGCTCTCGCTCCAGCGTTTCGCTGCGTTTCTCGAGGTGTTCATAAAAGGATTCTCTAACTCTTGCTTGCCAAACATGTTACACATGGTTTTCGCTCTGTTTACTTAACCTCTGGCAATTGCGTTGCGTCGTTCGTTTCCAAGAATTGTTAACAAGGGCAATGCTCTCAGGGTATCCGATCCAGTCGTGGTTGTTGTTGCTGGCAGTGTCTTTTACGACGCGCGCCTTTCGGATTCACTACCTGCAGCCTTATCCACAATGAAACACCTCAAGCATCTGTAAGAGCTTCCACTATTATGTGATGCTCACACTCTGTCCGATGCACTGTTCTCCTCCATTCAGGCATGCTCCCTGCAGCCCTCAGCCGGTTGCGCTGTTCTCTTCCACGAAAACAGGCTGGTATTGAGTGCCTCTTCTCTCGCCACTCTACGCGGCCTGAACAACCTGCCAGGGCATGCCAATCTCTGCCACATGCGATTCAAGTTTGTGACAGCAACGTGTCACGCACAAGCGCGTCACATGTTGCTTCAGCATATGTGTGTCACATATTACCTGTTTATGAGTGACACCGAGGCTTCAGCCGTCTTGGAGCAGCCATGGTATTTTCAGCATTTTCAAGTGGTGTATCGGTCTGCGCATAGGTGGAACCTATGGGAAAGTAAGGTAGGCAAGGTAAGTGGGAAGTGGGCCAGGCCAATGCACAGCAAGGTAGGCTGCGGGGGCTCCACCACACCACGGGCTCCAAGATGACAAAACAGTCATCAGGGGAAAGGGCATCGGACCACCGCTGGTGGAATTGGTGCAGCAGCTTTCCCCCAGGTATGGTGATGGGTCCACGTTGAGCAGCTTCCTGGCGGCGGTGTCCCCCAAGAGCTTCAGAAAGGTGGGGACCTCCGCACAGGGGCAGCCGTAGGCCTTGACTGCTTGGGGTTGATGGAAGGGGGTCCTGCGAGCTTGTTGGGTCGGTGAAGGCCAGGCCACAGATCCAAACAGCCCTGGAATCACAAGTGCGCACAGCGAGGTTGGCCGTGTGGCCATCACAGGGCTGAAGACTGCCGTCGCCTTGTGCGCAATAGAGCCGACGTCCTGGGCCACCTGTCTGCACGCTTTCATTGCGACAGGTGTGGTGCGTGTTGTGTTGGTCCTCCCAGTGCCGGTGCTGCAGGGGAACGGGTGTTTGGAGAGCCCCCACTTTCTCTCTCGACCTTCCAGTCTTCCTCACCCTCATCTGTATCGTTCCTGCTGCTGTGTTCTCCAATCATTATATCCGCTTCTCTCTGCATCCTCACCCATACAGGGATCTCAGGTATAATCACTTCGTCGGCCCTTTTCCTGACGTCAAAGGCTTAACCAGCCTAACGTACCTGTAAGCTTGCGCACAGCAGCAAGGTACTTTTAGCATGTGGGCTGCTGCTAGCATTTAAGCTGCTTCGGTTGTGTGGGCTGCTGTTGCAATGTGAGTGTGCTCTGAGCATGTTAGCTTCTGTTCGTGCGTGCCTTACGTGCGTTTCAGAGACCTCGCTTACAACTTCTTTGCAGGAACGATTCCAATGACGGCTAGTATGAGCAGCTTGAAAAACCTGTGAGTGCGTTGTATTGCTTGTGAGAGCACAAACCCACGTGTTGCTTGTGAGGACCCACGTGTTGCTTGTGAGGACCCACGTGTTGCTTGTGAGGACGCACGTGTTGCTTGTGAGGACCCACGTGTTGCTTGTGAGGACCCGTGTATTGCTCATGAGCGCACGCACCCATGTATTTCCTGCGAGAGCACACATTCTATATGCCATCCGTTCATGATCCTCCACCTCACCCCACTTTTCCTCGCCCCCCGACCACGCAGCGATTTAAACTTCAACTTCTTTACGTCTGGGACCATTGAGGATCACATCTGTAACCAGGCCAATGTGGCGGACGCCAGCAACTGCTTGAACCCGTACGATGTGCCGTGCCAGCAGGACGACTCGCAGCTACAGGATTGTTCTATCTTCTGCGGGATGGATGCATCCTCCTCCATCCCCCCTTGTGCCGGCCGCGGGTACTGCTACGGAGAGTTCCTGAACGCACCGTGGTGGGAGCAGAGCGAGATGCAGTGCCAGTGCCTGGGTGGTTACACCCAGGAGTTGACTAGCGGGTCCTGTGTTCCCACGCTGGAGAGCTCTCAGGGTGCGTCCTTGAGGTGGTTGAATGGATATGTGAGATTGCCGTATAGTTTTCACCAGTATTGTCGTCCCCTTGTTTGTTCTCCCAACCGTGCAAAATTTGTCTGATCCATCTACGTGTGTCTTCCCACAACGAATCCTTTGGATGGATGGTGGGTCTATGCCCCACCAGGTTTTTTTTTGTTTTTTTTTGTTCTTTTTTTCCCTCCTTTTTTTTCTCACAAGGAAATGTGGTTCTCTTCTGAACATGCTGTGCTGTGCTGCCAGTTGACGTGCTGAGCGGCCTGCTGGGTCTGTGGGGCTCAGCGCCTAACCCAATCTGGAAGAACGAAACCCTGGACACCGTCATGCCACGCGTAGTCGCTGTTGATGCCGAACAGTTTATCATTAATCTGTGAGTATTCTGTGAGCACTGCTTGTATTGTTTTCATGCGCGACGTTGATTTGTGTATGATGCTAGTGGCTTTTTTTCTACTCCTCCTATGCAAGCAAGAGCCTCCTCTTGCCGCATCCAATCTGTTCCCTAGATTCGCGTTGCTCGTCTTCCTCTGCCTTTTCTCTTCCCCACTAGCCAGCCGCTTTCTTCTCTTGAAACCTTATTTGTACTGTTTTTTCAAGCTGTAAAGGTGAATGAGTTTTGAAGGAAGGAGGGCGTTTCTCTAGGAGTGAATTTATTAGGAAATGACAAGGCAGACAAGGCATGGAGTTTGGGGTGGAAACGCATGCACCCTCCCTCCCCACCACCTCCTCCTTTCCCTTCCCTCCTCGCACTCTCTCCTCATTTCATCTTCATCCCCCCCCTCCCCTTCCCCCCTCCTTGTCACTCTAACCCTATCCTGCCCTCCTCTTGAAATTCGCAGTGACTTATCAAATCAAAGCCTGAATGGAACCATCCCATCCATTTTGTCAACGCTTGCTCGCCTCACACATCTGTGCGTACATTGCACTGCCCCATCCGATTGACAGCACTTGCCGCTCAGGACTGTGTCACAAGGCTGCTTTCTGTGGTTCTTCCTACAGGCATGATGTCTTTTGCACCTCTCTGTGTTACGTCACCATTATGCTTGTTTTCAGCACAATAGCTTACGCTTATACCCACTCCCAACTCCTCCCTGTTCCTGTCTTCTTCCTCCATTCTTCATCGCTCCACTTCCCTATGCATGCGCAGAAACCTGTCACGCAATGAGTTTTCAGGAGCCGTCCCTAAGTTTCTTAGCAGCCTACTGAGAATGGAGACCTTGTGAGCCACAGTTCTTGCCGCCCTTGAGGGGTGCTGCATGGTGCCAGCCTGTCACTGTGGCAGTGCTATTTCTCTGTTGGAGGAGTTTCAACTCCTCCACATGTTTTCCTTGGCAACTTTCATCCTACCCCTATTCCTTTCCTTTGGGCGTGCCTCTTGCTGCTGCTGCGACCTGCCTTCCCCTGCCATGTGGATAAATGCGTCTGCATCACTCCCTCTTTATCCATGCGTCTGCCATCACACCCCCTCACAGGGACTTGTCCTACAACCAGCTGTCTGGGCCGGTTCCATCCTTCCTCAGAACCCTACGGCGCCTTGAGACCTTGTGAGAAGAGCAGTTAATCAAAGTGTATTCTGGTAGCGATGTACAATCGAGCAATCTCAGACCGCTTTATATGTCTTCTACCTCCGACTGAGGCTAACTTGCCAGTCTCGGGATTACCTGTTCTAGTTGAAACTTTTAGCCAAAACCTTTTCTCGGGCCTAGCTGTCTCAACTCCCTGCTCTAATATATGGTTTCGTTAACCACCCCTGGTATGAGTATCCACTCAAGCACAGAACTTGCTGCATTCCCCCTGACATTATTCCACTGACAGGGATGTGAGCAACAACTATCTCTTCTCCGGCAGTCTCCCCACCACCATGTGCACCTCATCAGTTCTGCAAAACCTCTCCTTGCGGAGCAACTGCCTCCCAACAGACGCCATCCCCTGTGCCCTCGACCACACCCAGCGTCTCCCTGAAGCTTGCTCCGCTTTCTGCGGCTTCTCTTCTCCCTCCACCCTGCCCTGTTCCGGTCGCGGATACTGCTACTGGGACGGGGGGAAAGAGAAAGACACAGCCATGTGCGCGTGCGAGGAGGGGTACGGGACTGGAGTTCTCCCTGGAACGTGTGCTCCCCTGCTCTCACAAATGGAATGTAAGGAGCTGCGTGCTGAAGTTTGAGACGTTATGGTATTCAGTTCCTGTCAAGCTACTGCATTCTCAGCAGCTTGGTGCAACCAACAATTCTGCTTTCAACATTCAGCACTTGGGCTGATTCAGATCCTGTTGTTCTTGCCTGGATGCCTTCTTGTAGGGGCTGTATTGGATACTCTAACAGCTGCATGGGGCGGCTTCGACGGCGACGGCACATGGAAGAGAGACATCCCTTGCGGGCGCATGCACTACGTCACATGCGATCCAGACAACCGTGTCGAGCAGCTGTAAGTAGCATCGCTCTCATTACGTCTTTGTTTGAGACGACTTGACTTGAAGGGCGTCCCGTATTGAAGTTCTCTTATCGAAATCCTTTCCACTTTCAGCTTCTTGCCTGCTACGCCCATAGTCTCCATCCATACATCTTCTGTTACGCCCATAGCCTCCATCCATACATCTTCTGCTACGCCCATAGCCTCCATCCATACATCTTCTGTTACGCCCATAGCCTCCATCCATACATCTTCTGTTACGCCCATAGCCTCCATCCATACATCTTCTGTTACGCCCATAGCCTCCATCCATACATCTTCTGTTACGCCCATAGCCTCCATCCATACATCTTCTGTTAATCGCCCAGTGCATCTCCTCCGCCTGTCAACACTTTCCACTCGTTCCCCCTCACCTCATCCTGGCATGGCAGCAATGTCTCGGGGCTGGGCATCCGGGGATTCATTCCAGACGCCATCAGTGGCTTGGCGAGCTTGACTGTGCTGTGAGTGCATGCTCCTCATGTTGCTGTGAGTGCATGCTCCCCATGTTGCTGTGAGTGGACGCTCCTCATGCTGCTGTGAGGCATGCTCCTCATGTTGCTGTGATTGCATGCCTCATTTTGCTGTGAGTGCATGCTCCCCATGTTGCTGTGAGTGCATGCTCCCCATGTTGCTGTGAGTGCATGCTCCCCATGTTGCTGTGAGTGGACGCTCCTCATGCTGCTGTGAGGCATGCTCCTCATGTTGCTGTGAGTGCATGCCTCATTTTGCTGTGAGTGCATGCTCCCCATGTTGCTGTGAGTGCATGCTCCCCATGTTGCTGTGAGTGCATGCTCCTCATGTTGCTGTGAGGCATGCTCCTCATGTTGCTGTGAGGCATGCTCCTCATGTTTCTGTGAGGCATGCTCCCCATGTTGCTGTGAGTGCATGCTCCTCATGTTGCTGTGAGTTCATGCTCCTCATGTTGCTGTGAGGCATGCTCCCCATGTTGCTGTGAGTGCATGCTCCTCATGTTGCTGTGAGTTCATGCTCCTCATGTTGCTGTGAGGCATGCTCCTCATGTTTATGTGAGGCATGCTCCCCATGTTTCTGTGAGTGCATGCTCCTCATGTTGCTGTGAGTGCATGCTCCTCATGTTGCTGTGAGTGCATGCTCCTCATGTTGCTGTGAGTGCATGCTCCTCATGTTGCTGTGAGTGCATGCTCCTCATGTTGCTGTGAGTGCATGCTCCTCATGTTGCTGTGAGTGCATGCTCCTCATGTTGCTGTGAGGTATGCTCCTCATGTCGCTGTGAGTGCATGCTCCTCATGTTGCTGTGAGTGCATGCTCCTCATGTTGCTGTGAGGCATGCTCCTCATGCTGCTGTGATGTGAGGCATGCTCCTCATGTTGCTGTGAGGCATGCTCCTCATGTTGCTGTGAGGCATGCTCCTCATGTTGCTGTGAGGCATGCTCCCCATGTTGCTGTGAGTGCATGCTCCTCATGTTGCTGTGAGTGCATGCTCCTCATGTTGCTATGAGGCATGCTCCCCATGTTGCTGTGAGCGCATGCTCCTCATGTTGCTGTGAGTGCATGCTCCTCATGTTGCTGGCTGCACCCGTTGCATGAGAGTATGCGCGACAAGCAGCTTCAACCATCTCTCTGCATACCCTCACGTAAACTGCATAACATCCAGCGTTTCCCGCCTACATTGTCAATAACTGTCATGTCATCTGCAGAGATTTGTCGCAGAACTACTTATCAGGTGCACTGGTGCAAGGCCTTAGCACTCTATTGAACCTCGATACTCTGTGAGTGCCGATGTTGTCCTCAATTACCTCTAGTGTTGTGCCTCCTCGCACTACATCCAATTCGGACGGAGTACATGGCAAGAGAGACTGGCTAACAAAACTAAATCTCAACCCGCAGTTAGCATAGTCGTAGCAATAAGCATTCCTGTCTATCACATGTGTATGTTGTGACAAATAAAGAAGCGTTCGGTTGCGCCTCATAAGAAGCCTGCCCCGATTGTTCTCACGATTATTGAGAAGAAAAATATTTATCAAACAACTTTGTGTCCCTTCTGCTTGCACGTGCCTTCTGCTCGCATGCTGCAGGAATCTCAGCAACAACTACCTCTACTCTGGCACCCTTCCCAAGGCAACGTGCGATGCCCTGAATCTCTCCCTGCAGTCCAACTGCTTCAACTCCAGCGCCATGCCATGCGCCCTCACCCACATCCAGCGCTCCCCCCAACAATGCTCCACCTTCTGCGGCCTTTCCCCTCCCTCCACCTCGCCCTGTGACGGCCGCGGTGACTGCTACTGGAAGAAGGGGGAGGAGACAGGCACTGCCACGTGTGCATGCGAGGAGGGGTACGGGAATGGAGCTGATCCCCGCACATGCATCAACTTATTGCCAGAACTGGAATGTAAGCCACTAAAGTCCATTGCGTCTGATCCTAACACATCTCGTTCTAATCTCTCCTGTTTGACACTTACAGCCACCGAAATGCACAGGTTGCTGCAAGCTCCATTGAATTTGCACACGTCCAATCCAAGCAATGGTCATGTCCAAGTTTGCCCATGCCCCCTCGTGATCTGCGTTTGCCTGCTTGCCTGCGATGCGCAGGGCTCGCTCTAGGCGCGCTGAAAGTGGCCTGGGGTGGCTTTGATGGTGAAGGCACTTGGGATCAGAACACCTCGTGTGTGCGGATGAAGCATGTCAAGTGCAACGAGGACAACCACATAGTGGACCTGTAAGAAACACTTCCTGGTTTGCCTCACAGGGGCCTCATAGCTGGATATTACATATGCATCATGGTCCATCTCACAACTGCATGTGGCGATGCTGTCATGGGACTAAGCCACTGGGGGTTGGGGACAGTTGCCTCCACAGTTGGAGTGGGCTAGGGTCCATGAATCCACTCAGATGCCTCCACTACGCCTTTCAATTCAAGGACGCATGTTTTCTTCTCATATTTCTTCAAATAAACTCGCAGGAATGTTTTTGGGCTAGAAATAGCAGGATCCATTCCAAGCGACATCCAAGGCCTGTCACACCTCACATCACTGTGAGTGATCTCTCGAGTCTAACCGTGTCAAAGTGGCACCTGTAGGAAACTGTGGGTAGCATCACTTGTAGCAATTCCTCGTGAGGAGGAATAACAAAAGGGGTTGCTTGCGAATGTTCTAAGACATAGCGGCATGTGTGTGTGCACAGGAACATGTGAGCATGCGTGCATGCATGTGGCTGCATATGTGTGGCGTGTGCACCAGCTTCTTTGAGTCACGTGGTGCATAGTTTCATCTTGCCTCTTGCTCCCTTCGACCTTGTTCCTTCTTGTTTGTCACATCCCATTCCTCTCCCATCCTCCCTCCCCCCATTCTCATACTTGTGTTGTTACAAATCCCCATCTTCAGCAATGTGTCCAACAACGCTATAGCGGGGCGTATCCCAGACTCCATCAGCCGCCTCACGAAGCTTAAGCTCTTGTGCGTTTCAGTTTGCCAAGGGAATTCGGTTGAGATAATGCATGAATCACGCAAACCTGGAGAAATCACACTGAGTTGCTACCGGATTGCAGTTTGTCGCTCGGATTGGCATTCTGGACAAACCAATAAGCTGCCAATGCTCGGATTTACAGACATCCATAAGCTGCCAATGGGTCCAGTATTTGTACAGCATGAGTAACCCCTTCTGTATTCTTTTCTGTTGGCAGGGACTTGTCACACAACCAACTGTCAGGAGCTTTACCAAGTGGGCTGAACAACTTGCAAGGGCTCAATGGCACGCAAGGGTTGCTGACACTGTAAGCAATCCTCTAGCGACATATAGGCGCACAGCATGGCATTGCGTCAAGTGAATTTGCCCTTCCACAACCAAGCTATTAGCCCTAGCTACATCAACCATCTAATTCTTTCTTCCACACTTCCGTTCTCTTTCACTTGGCAGGTCCGTCCACAACAACTACCTCTACTCCAGCAGTCTGACCACAACCATGTGCAGCTCACTAGCACTGAAACTCTCCCTGCAGAACAACTGCTTCGACTCCAGCGCCATGCCCTGCGCTCTCACCCACACCCAGCGCCCTGCTGTGAATTGCTCTGCCTTTTGCAGCCTCAAACCCCCCACCCCGCCCTGTCCAGGCCACGGCTATTGCCTCTGGAAAGGTGGGGAAGGCACAGGCACTGCCACGTGTTCGTGTGGGTCAGACTATACAAGGAATGGCACTCTTAAAACCTGCGACGGCCTTCCCTCGGATTCAGAGTGTAAGGTTTATTTGAAGGAAGAAATGGCGTGTGAGTCTTTGTGTTAGCATAAGTTTGACGATGCCCATACCTGGTGGTGCAAATACATATTGTTCTTTCTCCCTCTCCATTTTTAGGCTTCCTCCCCACCTGCCCAATGCACAGGGGCTGCACTGGAAGCACTGAAAATGGCCTGGAGGACGTTTACAGAGTTTAGCACGTGGAAGAAGGATGCCAAATGCGGTGACATGAAGCACATCACCTGTGATGCTGACAACCACATCGTCCACCTGTAAGATCATTTGCAGGGCTGAGAACCACGCTGTCACTCTGTGGTGGTTGATGCAAGAGAACAGATTGTTACTGTACGGTTAGATGGTTACCTGCATGTATGTGGCCGGCCGTGCACATGGCAAACGCTTTAGGGTTGCATGTTACGAGAACTGGGCAAAACCGCTGCTTACTAGTTGTGCAGACATGTGAGGGCACATATCTGGACTGGCCCTGCTGAGTCATGCCATTGCCCCCACGTGCAGGGAAGTGACAGAAGCTGAAGTTCCCGGAAGCATTCCAGCGCTTATTGGGAATCTTATCTATTTGACCGCATTGTAAGTGCACACTCACCTGGCGGCACTGTATGCATTGCACCACATCCTTTGGGCATTAGCTATAGAAGCTCTCCATCTGATATCTGTTTAATGCCCACCACCCCACATCCACTTTACTGTGCTGTACAGTACTTCCATCCTTACAGTGGAATACAGTTGTGCTCAATGTATTTGCACTCTGCCCTTTGACCTTGTCATCACTTCCCGTTCACGAACCTTGACTGCCTGCTCTAGGAAACTTTCTGGAAACCACTTCCGTGGCTCCCTTCCATCGACAGTTGGACAGCTTACCAATCTGGTCGAGTGGTAAGAGGAAAGCTAGTTTCCTAATCAAGACTTAAGAAAGTTTTACAATTGTGACAGCAAATTGAAGCCAGCCTATTTTTACCTCCCTTAATTACATCTCATCCTCAGCTGGTTACACCTACTTCTTAGTGTCTTACCCTGTCGTGGGTCAGACACTCAGCGTCTTGCATCCCTTGCTCTTCTCACTCACTTTCTAGAGAAATGCTTCCTGGCTTCCTGATGGTCACATCCTTGAATCTGACAGTTTAAATTCGTCTATTTTTAACAACTTTTTACAATAAAGCCATGTTCAATATAGCCATCATGTGCTCAATCCGAGTTACCACCAGGCTTCTCAGAATGTGAAACGACCTGTGAAACGCTTTCAGGTTTTTTTACGATGGAAATTTAGAAGCATTCTTGTCATTTCTCTAAGACTGAACGCGCCTTGGATCCTGTCCCTATGCATGTGATGTTGTCTCAGGGATCTGCGTTACAACTCGTTCACGGGTAGCCTTCCCAAGTCGATCTCAGCAATGCAACGACTGGAGACGTTGTGAGTGACTCTGGTCGAGTGTCGTGTGACTTATCGTGAGGCTTGCTATGAGACTTCTCAAAAGTCACCTCTGTTCCCAGCATTGCAAGGACTAGAGATGGTGTGAGCGAATCCGGTCAAGAAAGGAGGAGAGACTTAGCTCAAAAACTACTCAAGAGCAGTTCTGGTAAGGATCGGAGCACAGGATTTGCCTTGGGGGAAGTGGGGATTGCAAGGCAAAATGGTATGACGAATGTTGGTGGTTGTTGCCCACTGTGTTGCTATAGCTGGCATGTAGCTCTGATCGATTATGATACAACGGCTGGGGAAACTCTGTGGATCGTCTGTTTGTTGGTGCAGGGATTTTGATGGCAACTCGTTCAAAGGCCATATCCCAGAAGGAATCTGTAGCATGACAAACGTTACCAAGTTGTGAGTGCTCCATATGGATGGTGTGATTGTCGTTCCTGTTAACAGCTGTTTGAAGTGGATTCTAGTGCAGCAGAAAAGGACTGCATGGACTCTGCCTAATCAACGAGACAAACAATGCCTGGGATCGCGCGAACGCTTTGGCTGGAAAGCTTTCCTCATCAAGACTGTTGAGTGCAGCAGCCTCGCACCGCACTGAGACGTTGAGAGTGTTGAGTGCAGTGCCGACTTATGCTATTGTCGGACAAGCTACTCTGCCTCGTCTTCCCAGCCCTCCTCACGAGAACCCTATGTGCAGCGTTTGCAGCAACCCCAGGACCACTCCTTACTATCATGCCATGTCCAAAGCTCTAATATTTCTTCCACTCTCACGCGCTCTATCCCAGTCGTATTGCTGTTCAAAGCGCTCTGTGGGCTCCGTGCCGCACTTGAACCCTCCTGTTTTTCTTTATCTCGTTGCCTCTGTGGCAGTACGATCGCAGGGAACTCCTTTGATGGGCCCATTCCTGGCTGCGTCTCAAACTTAGCAAGCCTTAAAATATTGTAGGTCCAAGATTCCAGCACTGTATTTCCAAGCTTCTAGCCAGTCCAACTTCTCCGCTCAGTGAGCCATTCTGAAGTCCTGCATGAAAGGGCTTCGTAGACGATCCCATCACCTTTAAGTGGTCTTGCCGCGCTGTCGTTTCACACGGCTTCGTCTTCCCCTTGCAGGGACATGAGCTACAATCGTATGTCCGGGAAGCTGCCTTCTTTACGGTCATTGAAAAAACTCGGTTATCTGTGAGTCGGAACATGGTCTGCTTGCTCATTTGTCGGGCCTTTGCGGGGGATGTGAACTTGACAAAATGGCTGCCGTGAATCGTTTCTCAGTGATTAACTCATGCTTTGCTTCCTCAAGCATTGCCTGTCTCTGAGAATGCCAATCGTATTCTTTGAGCTGTTCGCCTTGAACCTGTTCTACCCTGAACACACAACAATAGTATGGTTGCTTGTTGGGGGTATTGCTGTTGAGAAAAAAACGATCCATTTGGTGGCGCATCATCCACTGTATGGTAGATGTGCGATCATTTTTTTACACAGAAATGGTCAACTGATGCATGTACGGCATGGAGTCTAATACATGGTGAAAGTCCATGCCTGCATGCATGCATACCCATGGATGATTGGCAACACAGGGATCTGAGTAACAACCGATTCTCGGGGAGCATACCTTCTGATATTTCAACCTTGAAGGCTCTCCGCAGCGTGTAAGTACCTCCACTCACCTCTTAGTTCACTTTCTGTGAATCTTCTGTTCACTTGTTGAGGGGATTTAGAGCACCTCAAGTTCACTTGTTAGGGGAAATAGAGCACCTATGCTCACATGGAGAGAGGAAGTAAAGTTCCATCTGTGTCTTCGACTCCTTTCCTCCCCAAACCACACAGGAACCTGGACTACAATAAGCTCAGTGGAGTCCTTGTGCCGCTGTCACCAATCGTTGCACTCAGTGCGCGTTACAACTATCTCTCTGCTGCAAACTCATTGTCCTGCAAGAATGGCCGTCTTGCAAACAACTGCCTTCTCAAGAAGAAGCGCATTTGCTCAAAGTTTCCCCAGCGGCCCATGAGAGAATGCACCCCGTTCTGCGGGCTCTCGAGAAAAAGCCATCCCTGTGGGGGCGTCGGCGGCTGTGTTTTGGTTGGAAGGGGCTGAGGACACGCCTTCGTGCTCCTGTAATGACAGGTACACCAATAGGGAGTCTCCCATCACCTGCATCCCATACGGTAAATGTTGCTCCATTGCATGCCATGATTCCGAAGTTTCTTGGATCAGCCTTCATCTCATCCCATGTTACACTGCCAGTGTGTCCTATGTGTAGACCAATGGAGATTTTATCCATGCGTCTTGTAACCCACAACCAGTGTACTCTCCTGCATTTCCCTCTTGTACTCTTCCACTTGACAGAACAAAGATACCTCAAGGATGCCAACCTTATATCGTCTATGGTCACCCTCACCACAGAACCCTCGAGTAAACCCTTCTTTTATAAGACCCCCATCAAGCTCTTCTCGTTTACAACCATCCAAGATGAGTGCGGCCGCGGTTCTACTTCAGTGCCAGCTTTGCCTTCATGATGACTCCGAAGCTCGGTGGCAGTGACGGCAACGGGCTCGCGTTTGTCATCTCGGCCTCAAAGGCGAGCGGGGCCTCTGCTCCGTTCAAGAACGGCACCAGCCGTGGAGTGGGGTATGCAGGGATGGACCAGCGCAGCATTGCTGTTGAGTTTGACACGTGGCTGGATAAGCAGGACAGTGACACCAGCACCCAGCATGTTGGGGTCAACCTGGAAGGAATTCCCAATTCCAAAAAGACCGCAAACACCTCGGGTGTGCTTAATGACGGGAAGATGCACTTTGCATGGGTGGACTACACCCCCGGTGATCCAGAGAGCTTGAAGGTGTTTCTTGATCCTGTCTTCAACACCAAGCCGGCCAAACCCGTGCTGAGCATGAGCATCTCACTCTGCAATCTCCTTCAGCCCACACGGAAATCCTCCTCCTACTACTTCGGCTTCGTGGCCGCATCATCAGCCGAGCATGCGCAGGAGCATGTTGTGGGAATGGCAATCGTTTCCAGAGGCAAGCTTGCAATGGAGCACACCGTTGCTATCACCATCGCTATTATTGTCTCAAATCTAAATCTCACGCTAATCTCCTCTCGATGTATGTCTTGTGTTTCCTTGCAGGGTATACTGAAACCCCATCACAACAGTCAGAAGGCAGAAGTAAGCTGGACAGCTGCCCCTGTCGTTCCTGTCTAAAGCCTTCCTATGTCTTGCACTGGTTGTTTAAAATAAGCACAAGCGTGCGCACCCAAGGTTGTTCATAGTTTCATATCAAGCGCTGTCACAACATTGGTTGCAGCAGTAGTGATTGCAGCAGTAGTCTGCATCTCAACCTTAAGCAATTTCTAGCCTAGCAAACCTGCCTTCTCTGCTGCATTCCATCCTCCCATGGCCCCTCCATGCTTCCTGCAGCCACCGGATTTGAGTTGGATGTCGATACATTCCGCCCCAGCACCACAAGCCCGTTCACGCGCTATGTGAGCGTGGGGTACGCCCCATCGCAGGACGGGCAGGACTCGTGGAACATCCCCTCCCGCTCTACGTGGACCATTGACCCGACATGGGTGGCACGGGACCAGGGCGATTGCAGTAAGTCTCGTGGCTGCTGTGTTGAATTATAAGTAGACCAGCCTAGGACGGGTAGGAAGCATGAAGAATTTGCAACTCCTGCTGCAGACAGAGTAGCAAGACGAGCTCTGGTAGGCTGAGGACTACGGCTCATGTGGCGTGACTCTTGTTAAGCATCCAGCCGCCTTTCTAGCCTCTCCCGAATGTGTCCCGTGCCGGTTGATCTTACCCCGTCTCCGCCGTTCTCTCATCCCATAACTGCAGGCGACTGCTGGGCGTATGCAGTGGTGGCGAGTATAGAGGCAGCACACGGCATCGCCAACAACGACAAGACTTTCCCGTCGCTCTCTATGAAGTCCCTCTTCAACGCCGCCAAGATGGCTTACTGCGAGAGTGGCTCACCCACCCTCGCCTTTCAGAAACTCATCGCCAGCAAGCAGGGTCTGCTGGTGGCTTCTTCCCAGGATTCCTCGTCGTTCTCTTTCCCTCCTTCTTCCATTCGCTCCTCCTCCCTTTCCTCCTCGTGGTTCTCCTCAATCAAAGCAGCGCGGCACAGTCCCTCTCTTGGCAAGATTGCTATTCATCGTCACCCTAATGCAGCAGTAGCAGCAACGCCACCTGTATGTATTCCTGCCTCTAGACTCACGCTGCTGGCCTCTGGATTTACGATGGATTTCTTACAAAAGAAAGAGATTGCGGAATACAGTGAACCAACATACAGTGAAGTTGTTGAGTGAGTTGTGAACGAAAAGGTGCACCAAAGCGAACACCCAATTGTCCATGGTGAAATGGTGCTAATTCCCGACCTTTATGTGTACCCCGTGCCGTGCCCATGCGTGCGTGCAGTCGAAGAGTTACCTGGTGGCTGGGTTTGAGAGGACGGTATTCAAGGGCTACTTTGGCCTCATACTTGCAGTACGGCAGCAGCCTGTGGTGGTTCACATCGAGGCCACTGCCGCCTCTTTCAATGCTTACAATGGGGTATGAATTCCATACGTGAAGCACGAAGGGCAAACTGTTTGGCACTGTGAGCTGTGACATCAGCGCTTCAAGTATAGTGTGCTTGAAATGTGCGAAACCAGTGTGCGACACCAGTGTGTGACACCAGTGTGGGACACCAGTGTGCGACATTCTGAGCGATCCCAAGGCACACTGGTGCATAAAATTTTCAGTTTTGCGAGTTCTTCACGTCGTCCTGAAGTGCCAAATCGCAAAGTTTTCTTCCGAGTGCAGCTGTGCTTTTAATGCAGTACCCTGCTTGTTAGTTTGTGTGCCTGCGTTGTCATCTTTTCCTTGTCATCGTTCGCCCGTACAACCTTTGCCCCAGATAGCCTTTGCCCATACACCATCTGCCCATGCAACCTGTGCCCTTTGCACCGTGCTGTCTGCAGTCATTTAGGTACGACGAGGCTGACTGCTACATGGGCAACCTCAACCACGTTGTACTCGTTACAGGCTACCTCCTCATGGCCACTGATAAGGACCGGCCACGCATTCCTCCGCCCTTCTGGAGGATCCGCAACTCGTGGGGCACGGATTGGGGGGAGAAGGGGTACATGCACATGGGAATATTTCCAGGGGATGGCATCTGTGGCATCAACGTGCTGCCTGGCATCTACCCTGTCATCAGAAGTGAGTGCTTGAGACACCTCAGACCAGACCACCCCTTCCCCGTGGTCAAACTCGAGTTGCCCTGGCCGACAGGCTTGCCAGCAGGAGATCCCCCAAGCCACCCCTGCTTTGAAAACTTTTGCGCATGTGATCTCATCGTGCCTGCTAGCTGGGCCAGTTCAGTATTTCTGCTCTTCATCCCCGTTCCGCATCCTCTTGCCGAAGCCTGATAGCCACTCCTCCGTGCTAATGTCTGCTCCTCCCAAACCCTCTTGTCTGTCTCCCGGTCTCATCGGATTCCAACGACCCCTGTATGCTCAAATCATTCAGAATCGGTGACGAATCGTTTATGAAACCCTGTGGCAGCTTCAAGTGCACCGTAGAGGACACCTCCAACGGCTGTGAATGCAAGCCTCCATTCGTCGAGGTCAAAAATGGTGATGGCTCTCGCTCCTGTGCCTATGGTGAGTCGGCTCTTGCAGCACCTCAAAAGGGGTGCACAACCACATGCACAATATGTCTTGAACGCCTTTGCGCCTGCTGTGCCTTTGATTGCTCATCCCCCAAAGCACTGGAAGAACACCATCGTTAGTCACACAGAGCCTAAGGTTCTCTCAGTCGGGGTGTGAGTGAGGTCTAGCATGCACAGGAAGGGTGTAGGCGGCCTGGGGTGGGTTCACGGCATCTCAGAAGTGCTCAGTGTATGAGGGATGTATAACTTAGCTTACAGTCATGTTAAAGAATCCTTAGCTTATGACCTCAGTATAGCTTAAAGAATCCTTAAAAGCCACAGTAGAGTGCACTCAGTCCTGCTGCATGTTGTCAGTGGTTGTGACCAGAGGCTGCAGCCACATCAGCTTGCTCCTTCTCTCTTCTTGTTTGATGTGGCTGCTTGCTACTTGCCTCCTTGCCTCCATCAGTTGATGCGTGTGGCGCCAGCATGCAGAACCCATGTGAGGTGGGCTCGTGCATCAACGATGAGAAGGGCTCCTACACCTGTGTGTGCCCTCCCACGTATACTAAAGACACCACCATTGATGGACTCCAGACTTGCTCCAGAGGTAGGCTACATGATTCACTTGCTCAAGAGCTGAAGAGTTCAAGAGCTCAAGAGTTCAAGAGCTCTCTGAGACGGAGGGGGGTTTCCTCTGGTACTCACTCACCACCCCTGTCCTGACGTTCCCACCTGAAATGGCAATCTCCTTTTCCCATTGTTCAAGAGCTTCCCTTTTCCCTCGGCAAGCAACACTGTACGTCCCCCTCTATAAGTTGCTTATTTATCCAGATAAAGTTTCTCGCATTGGATTTCTTCCACTCCCTATCACCAAAATGCGCCCCTTAATCCATCCACCAAGACGTTTATGTGATAAGCTAGCTAGCTCTTCCCCGCCCTTCCCCTCCACCCCCATGAACCTGCTCTTATCTTTCCTCCCTGTCTCCCACGATGCCTTTCCATGGCTAGGTTCGGACGTCGCTTCCAAGCTGACAGTGAATGGGATCAACTGGCGGTGTGACGACGTGCATTCTCTCTTTGGGCTCACACTGGACGAGTTCACTCACAATAACAAGGTGCGGTTTCTGCCTCTGGATTAAGTGCATGCTTTTCTGTTTAAGCAGTTCCAATCACTGTCTAACTCCGCTTTGAGTCTCGCACCACGTTGCCATACTTTCTGCTGCTATTCCATTTCCGTTGAGTCTCACCATGCTGCTATTCCGTTTCCGTTGAGTCTGTTCCTTACTGGCGACGCACAACAATACAGTTTCATATTCCCTGACACTGGCTGCTGCGACTGCCACTCCTCAACTTCGCACCAGCACAATTTTTCAGCATTCTAACGGGAACATGGTAGCAGGCGCAGCAGTTTGATACTATTGCGGGAATGCTTCAGCATTGTATTCTGGCACTCAAGAAGTACTGAAGACTGTGCTCACCTGCTGTTGCGGTCGCAGGACGTGAACTGCGTGGCTCCCCTCAAAGCGAACACAGTGCTCGACATGACAAAGCCGGGTGTGACTGCGTGCTCTGCCTTCTACTACACACTACCAGTGAGTGCTTCTCTTGCCTCACAAGTGCTATGTTGCGTTGCCGTTTCGAGGCGCTTTGAAGAGTCATGCGTTGCTTCACCTCATGACTCTCAGCAAGCTATTTTCATAATACCACTCCCCCCCCCCCCCCCCTCCTTTTCCCCTCCCTCTCTCTCTTTCTCAAGTAGTCCACTTACCCCTTCCACCCTCCCCTCTCCCTCCCAACCCCACTCTCCTCCCACCAGTCGGACACATGTGCTTCTGTCAATGCGTTCCTCAACTTAAAAACCTCCTTGGAAACTCTCAACCCGATCTACAAACTCTCAACCCTTGATACTAGATATGTGTAGATAGAGCTATATGTTTGTTGATACAACCCCTTGGAAACTCTCAACTCTCAACTCCTTGGCCTTAGCTGCTCCTCAACTCTCAAAGTATCCCGATCGCTGTGTGTCGAGCGTAGCAAAACAGCTCTGTTTCCTGTAAGCAAGTGCCTCAAGACTACCGTACTAACGACTGTGGAAGACTGTACGAAGGCAGGGAGTGCCCCCGGGGGTGGCATCTCGATGGTGGAGCTCTACCGGATGAACCCGGGGCTCGTGTGCGATCCTGCCAAGGGGCTCAGGGGCGATGCGACTGGAAGCATGAAACTGGAGGTGAGAACATGGGGAGGTGAGAACATGGGTGTGTTCCATAGGTTATTCTTAAGTTGCTAGGCAAGTTCGCAGGAACGGGGTGATGCTGAGATGGGCGCTAAACATATTGATGGGTGGGGGTGGTGCTGGTTGTGGCATTCGCTCTGCCTCAGACATGATCAGCCATTTGCTTTCTTCTTTCCCCCCTTACCCACCCCATTCTGGCTGCAGGTTTGCGTGGATGCAGAATATCTGGACTACTCGGCTGGTAGATGCACCGGAGGCAAAACAAAGTACTTCAAAGTTGATACTAAGTGTGTTGTCATCCTAGCCAAAGAATTCAAGGGTAACCAAGCTGATTTTGAAAGGTATAACAAAAGGAAATGTGCCACTACTGTAGGGGGGAAGCCTGGGAATGAGAAGGCTCAGGAACAAGTGCCTATATGTATACCACCCTAGTGAAAACTTTGTTCCCAGTGCATAATGTGATGTTATGGTGTTTATTCATCATGTTCATTAGGTTTCTGAATTACAGGATGAACTTGTTGCACATTTAACGGCATGTAGCTGCAGTATCTACCCATCAGACTGAGCAGGCCAAACACACTGAATCTGGTAGGTCGGGCAAAGTGTTGCCCATACCAACAAACTTGTCTGCATTGAAATCTCACCCTGTCCTACCCGTTGCTTGCGCTGCCTTTTCCTGCTTTAGTAAAATTCCCACCTTGAAACTACAGCAAAAGCGTCAGCAGCAGTAGCCTCACATGAACCTGCGTCCCGGGCGTATGTTCTGGCTCCATACATACCATTCTCAACGGTAGTGTGACAGAATTGCCACCACCACCACCACCACTGTTGCTGCTGTGTGTAAGGAGTTCCTGCTGCTGCTGTGGCGGCAGCACGGGGTGAGATGGCAGCAGTTGCTATTCAGGTGACAAGTTTCTGCAGCTGCCGCAGCTACGAATGTCAGTCAAGAAACACACTGGGGTTCAGGGTCCTAAATAGCAGACTTTTTTTGTCTGATTGTCTGATTTTCAGACTGGTTTTTAGGGGTTTCTCTGATTTTTCAGACAGGGGCTTTCAAAAACTCTGATTGGACTAGACAAACTTTTGAGATTTCTCTGAAATTTTCAGACTAGGTGTACCAGTTTCTCTGATTTTTAGACAAGTGTTTTGAGTTTCTCTGAAACAAGGACATACAGGTGTAAGGTGCTCCCATGCGAATATTCCCATTTTCGAGTCGCCACACGTTGTCCCCCCTCCACATCCTTGGCATACGTGAGCCTTCCCGCGCCTTCTGTTGCAACATCTGATGTGGCTAGAGCACATGTGATTGGATACTTTACGGTATTGCAGAAAGGCAGACCAGTCAGAGGCCTTTGCGGCGCGTTACTTGGGTCTGCAGCGCACAGTGGGGATCAGACCATGCCTCACCCCATGCAGTGAACTTGCTGCAGCATACGTGCACCGCTGTATGTCATCCCGCCCATCACGACGCGTCGCCCCGCCCATCGTCTCGTCACTTGCCAGTCCGTGCCGCCATGGCACTTGACCAAGAAACCCCCTCCCCAACCGCGTCTTGCTCCCTTCGTCTCCACCTGTTTCTACCATCCACTTCTCTTACATTCTAGTGTTGTTGTCGTGCGTTAGTGTTCTTCTGCTCGTGTTCTGTTTCAGGTTTAGATTCCCCTCTCGAAGTAGGGCCAACATGGCTGTCGTTGTCGAGGCTGACGGCGACGATCAGCCAGAAGGGTGTAGCGAATCCCCGCCTCCCATGCGAGGCCTAGACTTCCTGCGTTCAAAGCTGTCGCGCACCCCTGCTGCAGTTACCTCCCGTCGCCCAGCCGCTATTGACCCTATGCTTGCGCCTTCCTCAGCCGAGCCCTCGCCATGGCCCGTGCCACTAGCATCCCCTCCTTTGTCGCCTGCGTGTTCGTCCAGTCCGTCCTTGCCTCAGCCCTCGCAGTCGCCCACACCATCGTCGGCGGTCCGCTTGGAAACCGATGCCGAAGCATCAGCTCGCTCCTCCGCCAAGAAGCGAAAGTATCGGCAGGCTTCTCTGCCGTGGTTCAAGGGCGCCACATCCAAGGCTCCTGACTCTGCACCGAGTTCAGTGCCCGGCCCGTCTACCGCAGAAGATATGGAGGACGATGATGCTGACGATGACGAGGAGGACGCAGAAGCAGCCGAGCCGCTGAAGGTCACTAAAGCACGTGAGGCAGAGCTGAAACACAAGTTTGAAACTGAGTGGTCGAAGAAGTTTCCGTGGCTCGTCCTCACCAAGACCGATCTTGGTCGCCCGTCCATCAAGTGCAGCATCTGCACGGCGCACCGGTCGGAGAACTGCAAGTACGGCAAGGCGGACAGGGCGGAGCAGACATCCAGGTGCAGACGATGCGCAAGCACCAGCGTACCAAGAAGCACCAGGCTGCTGTCGAGAAAAAGGAGGCTAAGGAGAGGGCCGAGATGAAGCAGAAGCGCATCGAGGATTTCTCGAATGGCGACTTCGAAGGCAAACGTATCATTCGGTTGTTGATGGCGATGTTATTCATCTGCAGAACTGACACATTCGTTAAGAACGACAGGGTTGTCACCGAGTTCTTTGCCTTACTCACTGTGCATAAGTGCGATGCTGGATCCCTCTTAACCGTTTTGCAAACCCATCTCGAATCGGCAGGTGTCGACATCAATAAGGTTTCAGGCATCAGTACGGATGGGGCCAGCGTCATGAGGGGGGATCGACAGGGTCTGGTCGCCCGCCTTCGGCAGCTCGTGCCGCACCTCGTCTCTGCTCACTGCATTGCTCACAGGTGAGGTGTAGTGCAGCACCACTTCCTTGGCAGGTTTCACGACTTCATCGACTAGTTCTGATTTATGTTTTGTGGTTTTGATGTATGATGTTCCGTGTTTGAGTAGGGAGGCTTTGGCAGCTAAGGACGCTGCCAAGAAGTTTCCCGACTTCAACATGATCGACGACATCATCAGGATGCTGGCCGAGATTTTGGGACGCTCCTCAGTATGGCACGACCGCTTCAGAGAGCTGCAAGAGATCCTGATGAAGACCTTCCTGGAGATGCAGTCTATCTTCGCCATCCGCTGGCTTTCACGTGCCGAGGCAATACTCCGCTTGGTCGCAGTTCTTCCCGCCGCCATCCTGCTACTGCACGAGTACGACCGGGATTCATACAAGGTTGCAAGGGGCTATAAATTCCACTTCAGCCTCTTCTTCCTCGCCGACCTGCTGACAGAGCTCAACCGGCTTAACAAGAAGTTTCAGCGTCGCCAGGTAACGTATACGCTAACGCTTCAGATCGCGCACATACTTTCGATCGCGCACATGCACGTTCTATGCTGGGCTAAACATGCCTTGGCTATGTGATTTTCTCGTGCTCCTTGCAGGTCGACATCACCAGGGTGGGAAGCATGGTGCAGAGCACCACTGAGGTGATTTGCGCACGGTACATCAACTGCGACTCTTCTTTCGGCAGCCCCAGAAGCAAGCACCTGCACAAGTTCTTGACATCCCATGAGCCTGAAGGTCGTGTGGTCGTCGAGGGGGAGGCGAAGGATGGCGAGCCGGTCCGCCACGAGTACATCCTTCAGACGAAGTCGATTTCGGACTCGGAGTTCAAGAGCGACAAGAAGTCTTGCATCGTGTTGTGCCGTGCCATGGCCCAAGAGACGATCGACTGCATCGAGTCAAGGTTCAGCGACCTGCAGCAGCTCAGAGGAACCAAGCTTTTTCTCTCAAGCGCCTATCCCACTGCGCGATCGGACCGCGAGAAGAAAGCGCTTGAGTGGCTGGCGCTTCTGAAAAAGTTATTCAACAACAAGCCCCTGCCTGGTAAGTTCTCTAGACCAACATACTTTTCCAAGTGCTTTTCTGGATTACCCTTCTAATGTTTACTCAGTGTGCCTGTCATCTGAGTACGATGCCATGCGTTATACTCACACTTTGCTGATTCCCTCCCTTCGCAATGTACCCCACCCTCCCCCTCCCAGGCGTTAGCTGGAAGCGCGCCAAGGCAGAGCTGGCCTCATTCGTCAACATCATGGACGCGCATCACGGGGAGATGGTGTACCACGTCAGCCTGCGGCACATGCTGGGGACACGCGGCTGGGAAGATGCCTATCCCAATCTTGTTAAGATTTGGGTGGCAACCGCCGTGCTCCCGTTGAGCACGGTGGAGTGCGAGCGGGGATTTTCCCGCCAGAACGTTATTAAGAGCTGGTCTCGAGGCAACCTCTGTGATGCCCGCTTGGGCGACCTTGTGTGCATCTCCCTCCTGCAGGATTACGACATGCGGTGGGATGAGATCATTGACATGTGGAAGGCCGCCAAGCCAAGGCGGCCTAGCCAGGATGCAATTGCCCCCATTCTTGCCCCAATGTCCAGGAAGAAGAAGAGCAAGGCCGAGGCAAAGAAGAGAAGGAAGATCGCAGAGCTCGAGGCTCAGATCAGGAAGTGGAAGGGGATGGCTGTGGTTGAGGAGTATGGGCTGGAGGAAGGAGAGGTGGAAGAGGAGGTGGAGGAGGAGGTAGAGGAGGAGCTGGCGGAATTTGATGATGATGAGGAGTAGGTACCGTAAATGTAGGGAGGGAGGGAATGGCCATCTGCCTACATGCTCGTTCGTTTGCAACTTGCAAGTAGTACTAACCTAATCAAAGAGCTAAACTTTATCTTCCATTGTCACACACAATAACAGACTATGCAGTAGAATTTCTCTGTATTTTCAGACAAAGATTCTCAAATTCTCTGGAAAATCAGACAAGTTTTTCAAAATTCTCTGATCCTGAAAAGCGCATCAGACAAAGTGCGCAGAACGTGTCTGATTGCTCAGACACGTTTTTTTCCAAAAGAGAACCCTGCTGGGGTTGCCCTTGATCCCTCGGGAAGGGCTACATGACATCTCTCTGCCTGGGGGGTTAGCTTGGTGGTATCAGAGCCGGGTGACTCGGGTTCAATTCCCAGTGCCAGCGCTTGTCAACATATATTTGTATAGGCTAGATAGGTGCATGCTCATTGAGGGTACAGCACCATCGCACAAAACCTCCCTGTATGTTTCATTCTAGTCAGTCGGTTACTCTGAGATGGTATCACCCTAGGTTAGGTCCGCCGCCCGCTTACGCTTCCGCCCTAGCCCTAGCCCCAGCCCTAGCCCGCGCCCTAGCGCTAGCCCGCGCCCTAGCTCGCACCCGCGCTGCGCGGCCCTCTAGCCCGCGCCCGTGCCGCGCGGTCCCTAGCCCATCGCTGGCCCCCGTTCGCCCGCCGCGCAGCACCTTGTCCACCGTCGGCCCCGCCTGCCCCCGTCCCGGCCCCCCGCGCCCGCTGGCCCTGAGCTTGCCGGCCCCACATTTGTGCCGGCCCTGCCTGCCCACGCTCGCCGGCCGTGCCTCCACGCCGGCCCCACCTGCCTGCGCTCGCCGGCCCCGCCTCCGCGTCAGCTCCCACTCTGCGCCAGCCCGCGGTCCACACCGGCCCCAACCGCCACTGGCCCCAGCCCCCGCCGAGCAACGCCACGCCGCATCGTCGAG